GGCCGGAGGGCAGGGCAAGCGGCCGCCCAAGCTGGGGCAGATCGGCCGCAGCAAGAGAGGTGGGTGCCCGCAGAGGGGATGCGGCGGGGATCCCGCGGGGTGTTGGGGTTCGTGTGTCGGGATCTTCCCCCGGGGATGGAGGATAGCGGGGACCGTCCTCAGGGGACCGGGCGTGACGAGCGGGATCCCTGAGGATGTCGGGCATCGTGTCCCGAGGACCTTCTGCAGGGATGGAGAGCGCTGGGGACCGTCCCCAGGGGCAGGGAATGGTGCGGCGGGCTCCCTGAGGGGTGTTCGGGTACCGTGTCTCGTGGATCTTCCCCGGGGATTGGGCATCAAGCATCTTGCGGGGATTCAGGGCACCGGGGAGCGTCCCTGGGGACGGGGCGGGATGCACCAGGCTCCCTGCAGGATGTCCGGCATCACGTCCCAAGGACTTCCACCAGGGTGTTGGGACCTTCCCTGGGGACAGGACCGGGTACAGAGCAGCAGGGACCTTCCTCAGGGGCCGGGCATCATTCCCCGGTGACCACAGAGGTGAGGGGACATTCCTTGGGGACATTCCCCATGCCAGGTGTCCCCAGGGACAGCGCACCGGGGCACCCTGCGCCGGGAGGCTTTGCCAGCAGCACCCCAGGGATGTGGGACCCCTCCAACACCCCCCAGGGTCACCTTGGGCGAGGGGAGCGGCAGAAAATTCATCGCCCTTCCGTTTCTTTCTGCTTTCCAGTGGTTATTGAAGACGACAGAATTGACGATGTGCTGCAAAACCTCTCCGAGAAGGCCCCTCCGGGTGTTTGAAGCCTCCCCGGGGACGCCGAGCTGAAGCCCGGGGTGGGGTTCGGTTTACAATGGCACAGGTGATCGGCAAAAAAATAAATCCCCCTCCTCAAAACACCGCAGCGACCACCCGAGCTCCGGGAGCATCGTCCAGCCGCAGCCCTGCCCTCCGGAGCAGGAGGGGAGGGCGGCGAGCGAGCCACAGCCCAGCCGAGAATCCAAAAATAATAATAAATTCAAATATATATATATATATATATATGTGTGTAATCGGGGGAAAATAAATCACCTGCTTCAAACCACCCCCCTCTTCACCCCGAGGGATGGACGGAGGAGAAACGCCGCGGCTGGGAATTACTCGGGATGGTTTTTTCTCGGGCTGATGAACCTTGTGCCGAGCTAGATCGGGGGGTAAGAGGACAAAAAAAAAATAAGGGGGCAGCGAGAGATGGGAGGGGAACAGCCCCTGGGGTCTCCCTCCGGTCAGGGTTGTTCCCAGAGGGCACCTTGTTTACATTATTTAATCTTGCAAAAATGAATCCGTGCACTTGGATGTACCACGCTATCCCCTTCTGTACGAGTTTCTTTTCTTTTTTTTTCTTATTTATTTTATTTTATTTTATTTTTTTTTTATGTTGATGTCTTTGGATGTTGGGAAATTATATAAAATAGATATATATAGATATATATATATTTAATTTTAGTCACGTTTTAAGGTTCTAGAGGGGGGAAAACCAAAACTTTTATAAAGGGAAGGCCTGAAGGAAGAATTGCTGGTTTATTTTTTAAAGCTTGTACTTCTTGGTTGCTGTGAGCAAAGGGACAGATTTTATATGTACAGGGGGGTGGGGGACAACGCTCAGCTTTTCTAACTACCATGCAGTCTGTAGTGTGGGTGATCTTGATTTGGTTTTTTCTTTTTTTTCCTTATATTGTGGCAGTTTCCTCTCTTTAATAGACTGTATTAAAACATATATATAAAAGAAATTATTTAATGTAATCACAAGAGTGCCAAACACTTGGAGATGCTGGAGGGCAGCGATTCCCTCCCCGAGACGAGCAGCACTCGGAGCTTTCTGCTCTTTCTAAGGCTCAGTCGATCTCTCGTGGGGTTTTCTCTGACTTCTCTTTTCTAATCTTTCTTTTTAACTATTTTGCATGATGTGCATAAAACAAAAAAAAAAAGGGGAAAAAAAAGAAAGGTGTGGGGTGGGGGGAAAACAAAAAGCGCTTCTGGCGCCCGGGCTTGGTTCTTGTTTCTGTTTGCGATTGACTGACAGACCTCAAGGCAGGTTTTTCTTTCCTCCTTTTCTTAAATATTGTGTATGTTGCACTTTTATCCACTACACAGGGCTATTTCTGCAATGTCCGAATAAAAAGGAAAATGAAACAAAACGGAAAAAAAAATATAATAATAATAATAATAATTCTAAATGCGGATCTGCCGTGTTTTCCCGTGAGAATCCCTCCCCTGTCCACCCAAAAAAACCCCAAAATAACCAAGGGAAAACCTCCCCACTCTCTGGCATAGCCCCCTGTTCATGCTGAATAATTAATTGTAATTGATATTTATTTGTGGGATATTTTTGTTGTTGTTGTTTAATGGGAAAATGCTTCCAATTTAATGGAAAAATTCAACGTTGGGTCCTGAGGATGGGGAATAAAAGGTGGTTTCCCCTTCACTGATGGGAAAAGCTGTGGAAAATGGGAATTTTCATTTTTGTGTTGCCTCCCTTCCATCCCAAACCCCAAATCCTGGTGTTAGAAAAGGCCATTATCCCTTCTGCCCACTTTGTGCCCGGGGAACAAGAACATAACCATGGGAAACAGGTCCAGGGGTGGGATTTTATTGCAAAGAAAATCATATATTGCAATAAAAGCAGGATGCTGCTGAGCTGGGATTTGTACAGGATAACCTGGGGCGGATTCATTTGGGGTGGCAAAGGGAGCTGGTACCGCATTTTTTGGGGTGTGAAGGCTGCACAACGCTCCCCTCCCCACCACCTTTGCTATTTATTGCTCCTTTTTTTAACCCACACAGTCTCTCCCACATCCAGGATACGAAGAGGAGCTTTGCTAAATCGCTCCCTTGAAGAAAATCCCCAATTATTTCCATTTTTATTCCCCCCAGCAAGTTCAGCTCCGGGCTCGCGGATGCGTGGGTCGGACTCGGCACACGCGGTTTTGCCCCCAAGATTTTCTGTGCTGCACCTCCAAATCACGGGGTGACCCCCAAAAAGGGAGGATTTTTATTCCCACACCAATATTTGGGAATCTGGGGGTGAGGCCAGGGCTCTGGGAGAGCAGAGGGGAGCAAAGCATCCCACATGTGCCAAGGACAAAGCGCTGGGGATCACAAAACCACGGGCTGGACGCGGCGCTGGGTTGATTAAGTTGACCAAAAAAAACCCTTTTTTTTGTCTGTAAAAACCTGATTTATGGGTCTGCCAAACCGAATTTCCCACTTTATTCCATTCATTAAAAGATCTCTGAGACCACCCTGAGACCCAGACCCGTCTATGGGTGATCCAAGGATGGGGCACAAACACAACCCCGGCATCCTCCCCCCAAAAAAAACATCAGGAGAGGCCGGGAATGAACCAGAGAAATCCTGAATCCAGAGGGGGAAGGGAAGCTGAAAGAAGAGGAGATTCTGCTAAATTATAAACCGCTTTTTTATATGCATCTTTCATGCACGGCACATAAATAATGGAGCAGGAGAGCCCGGCCAGCCGGAGTACGGGAGGATGCGGGATGGAGAGAGGGATTCACCGGGGATGCTGGGGGAAGGATGAGCCCGGGAGACCGAGCTGGGCATCCCACACGACCGGGAGATGCTGTTCTGAAGGAGGATTTAAGGATTAAGCTGGCCCTGGGGCAGGAGTTTATTGCATATATTATTTAACAGATGGCCCAACGCAGGCGGCGGCTGCCTGCGGTCTCCCCGGTGACCTTGGCTGGGAGATGCCAGAGCTGGGAAAGGAGCCTGGTGCCATCACCACTCTCAGATTACAGAGATCAGAAAGGAAAAAAAAAACAAAAAACAAAAAAACCCCAAACCAAACCCCAGGAGCCAGCACCCAGCAGCTCCAGAGCCAAATCCCCATGGAAACTGCAAAAATCCCCACCCAACCCTGCCCATATGGGCTGCTTGTTTTGGCAGGGGTGGGGAAAAAAATAAAAAAAGGAGGAAAAAAATAAAATGTATAGAAAATTAGAAAAGAGCTGTTTGCAGGTTTATTTACTGGAGGGAACTTGGTGCCTTTGGAAAAGCAGGGATGAGAGAGGTGTAAAGGTCCCGGTGACACCCAAGGCATTGTGAAATTCCACTTTAATCCCATTTTCCCAGGGATTTTGGCCTTGGGGGAAGGTGCTAACACAGTTGTTCCTGCAGCAAAGCCAACCCTGACCACTCACACCCAGAACCAGAGTGTAACTTTATTCACCCCTAAAGATATTTTCCACAGGATTTAAAGCATCAACCCTTGGGATCCCCCAGTCCTGGGGGTGCTCAGAGCAATGGACAAAGATTTTGGGGCTGGATCAGCGTCCCCACCACTCATTTCCCACATCAGCCAGGCAGTGACTCAGAAAAAGAAACCAAAATTGAGAAAAAGATGGAAAAAGAAACCAAAATTGAGAAAAAGATGGAAAAAGAAACCAAAATTGAGAAAAAGATGGAAAAAGAAACCAAAATTGAGGGCAGTGTGTTACAGCCAGGGCAAAGCAGAGCAGGGGGAGTGGGTGAATCCCCCAAAGCTCTTCCCCATCAAACAACTGCCCAAAATAAATATTCTCTCTTTCTTTTCCTTTTTTTTTTTCTTTTTTTTTTTTCTTTTCTTTCTTTCCCCTCCTCCATCAAAACTAGGCCATGTTAAACTAGGCCAGCACTCCTAAAGTAATTTATTTATCGTGGAGGGGAGAGAGGAGGGACAGCATGGGCTGCAGAAGGGGATGCTCCATCCTGCCCCCGAATGCTGTGGGTTTGGAGAATAAAATGGGTCAGTTCTTCCCTCTTCCCTTGCTGGAAAATCACAATTACTCAGAAAGGAAGCAGCTTTAGTGACCTTTGGTGGAGAAGACACAAAAATGGTCGTTTGAAGGGTTTCAAACCCTTTTTGATCCCTTCACTGCTGGGGTTTGTGATTTGTGGCGTGGCATCAGACAGAAAACACCCCTAAAAAAAACGAAAAATGGAAAAAGGAGTGAAAGAAATTTTATTCTCCTTAAAAACTTGGGGGTTTTTTTTCCCCTGCTTTTTAACACAAGAATGAGGAAAATAAATCCAGTGGCTGCCCGAAATCTCTCCATCCACGGAGATGGGGCTGGCCAGGAGGGATTTGGGAAGAAAATCCTGCTGGATGCTCCCCCATCACTCACAAAGGCCTTGGAGCTCTTTTGGGGGCTTCACCTTTGGGTTTCCCCATGGGAAGGGTGGCTTCTGGTGGGATGGAGCCCCTGGTGCCCCTGGGGGCTCTGGGGGGCTGAGGGTCCCCCTTCCCCGGGATCTTTGTGTCCCTGGAGCCACTAGAGGCCACTGGGGCTCTGTGCTCTGCTCAGCCAGGACATCTGGACACACAAAAATCCACACAGGCAGCAGAACTGGGCACAGGCAGGGCAGGGCTGTCCCTGAGCTCTGTTGGTGTCTCCAGGGGTGTCCCCACGCTGGGACCCCACGGGGGACAGCGACACTTTTCCCAAATCTGAGCTCAGCTGCACAGACTTGTGATTTGGGGACACTGGGAGGGACTGGGAAGGAACTGGGAGCACTGGGACACCGATCCCCACTTTCTCCTCCAGGGACACCATCACCAAGTGAGGGGCGTGGGGACACCTGGGGACACCCCTGGACATCGGGGACACCTTGGGGACATTCCTGGACATCAGGGACACCCTGGGGACACCTTGGGGACATCGGGGACACCTTGGGGACATCCCTGGACACCCCTGGGGGACACCTGGGGACACCCCTGGACATCAGGGACACCCTGGGGACATCCTTGGGGACATCGGGGACACCTTGGGGACATCCCTGGACACCCCTGGGGGACACCTGGGGACACCTTGGGGACATCGGGGACACCTTGGGGACATCCCTGGACATCAGGGACACCCTGGGGACATCCTTGGACATCGGGGACACCCTGGGGACACCTTGGGGACACCCTGGGGACACCTTGGGGACATCCCTGGACACCCCTGGGGGACACCCTGGGGACATCCCTGGATACCTGGGAATTCTGCATGTCCCACCCCGAGCTGAACATCTCCACAGGGCAGGGAAATGCTGCCCCAAGCTCCGCAGCCTTTCTGGGCTCACCAGGAATTTTATGGGGGGGTCAAGAAGCCATTCCCGTGATGTGGCATTCCTTATTTTGGGAATATTCTGCAAGAAAATCCCCAAATCCCCGCTGCTGCTGCTGCCTGGGGGAGCCTGGGAGTGGAGCTGGTGCCTCCCCTGGCTCCTCATTTTCATTTTGCCTGGAGTTAAAATTTTCTAGGATATTCTAAACAGCCGTTCCCACTTAGGAGGGAAACATCAGACATCTTCATTTGCACACCGCTCCAGGTGTCAAACTGTTGCACGACAATAACAAGTGGGAGACACCAAAAAAAAACAAAACCCAAAAACCCAGAGAGATGTTCCAGGGAGCAAAAATGCAGCAGCAGATGCTCGGATAAAACTCAAACAGCACCGGGCTCTGCGACCTGGCCAAAGCTTTCCTAGAGAAATCAATGTTTGGGAGGGGGGGTTGTGATTTTTTGGGAGGTTGGGATGGCTGTGCTGCCTCACTTTTGGGTGTTTTCAGAGCCTCGGTGGGCAGGATGGGCTCTGCCTTCTCAGGGCTGCCCCAGTTCCCAGCCTCACTGGCTTTGGAGGAAGATTCCCTGCCACAGATTTTTTTTTCTTTTTCCAAGACAATTCCTCCCCTGAGTTTCAGCAGGATGTGGCCGTGATAGCGATTGCCCTGTTAAATTCCTGTCGGTGATGCAACAGCAGGAACCGAAGAAATAGGAAGAAAACCAAAGGAATTTGGTCTCCCCTCCGTGCTACAACACCTCAATTATTAATATATATAGTATTACATTATATAATACCATATAATATTATGTAATATATATATATATATATGGCGTTATATAATACATACAATAGTATATATATAATTTTTTTTGCAGAGATAAATGTGACAAGAGCCCTTCCCTTTGCAGGGATCTCACCCTGCTCACCCTTTCCCACAGGCAAAAAGTGGGAACATCTCAGATTCCCTGGAGCTTTGTGTGCACAACTCGAAGCATCATCCCCTTCTCAGGGATGGGGGGGGGGAAAGAGAAGAAAACAAAGGGGGAAAAAGAACCAAAGCACAAAAATAAATCCCCAAAGAGGCCATGTGACACCAGACTCCGAAATACCCGGTGGTGAGTCACGGGTGTGGAGATGGGGCTGATCCAGCTCTGACTCAGCCCGGGCAGCCGGTGCAGCCTGTTTGTGTCCCCCCCCTCTTCCTCCACCACAAACTCCTGTTTCCCATTTTTGCCTCCAAACCTGCTCAAATAGAAATAAATACTCTGACTAAGAGCCACGTGGTGAGCTTTCAGCAGCCCCTTCAAGCCCCCCGAATTCCTGATGGTTCCACAAGGCCAATATCCCACAAAAGCCAGGCCTGGGGACCTTTGAAGTATTTAAAGTGGTTTTTTTAAATA